GGCGGCCCATTGCGATACCAGCGGATTTCCAGACTACGGGAGCCTGAAAATTTTATTAGGCGATTTTCTGAAACGACTTCGTTCGAGAGATATGCCGTGAAAACAAGCGAAAAGCCAAATTGAAGTCAATTTAGCTAAATTATAGAGCTATGGTGGAACGCTCCTCGATGATGACGGCGCCCATGAAGCTAAATCTTGCTATAAAGAATGGGGACCATGTCGAGTTCAAGCGTCTGGTGGAAGGGGACACGTTTAACCCGCGCTCTGAGAAGCCAAGGATCCTTATATCGGAGCGTCTCCTGTTACTGGCCTCGAAACAAGGCCAGTTACACATCCTAAAATACCGCTAGAAGAAAAAAAGTGCGACGTGGAGGGTAAATGCGCACGGGATGCTCCTCTTCACGGCGCGGCGCTGGTGGTGAGCATAGACGTGATATGCGGTACTCGTTACGAGAAAGGGGTGCCGATCCGACTGTGCGTGGTTGGAACGGTAGAACCCCTCTCCACTGCGCCTGTCGCAACGGGCACCTTGCCGCGGCCATAGTACCTACATAGCTTGAGCTTTGTGGGCATCTACGCTTCTGCGCGACGACTTCGATTCCACCCCAATCATGCCAGCAGCGCAACGTCGAACACTGAAGTGACAAAATATCGTAGTCGAGAAGAGCGCTGCGACGTGAGAGGATAAAGAATAAGAGTGGGGTGGGGTGACGCGCTGTGTGTAGCTGCCTTCGGTGCCAAACTCGAGTCTAGTCCAGTACCGTGATCCAATGAGAGAAAATGCGACCCAATGACCAAGACGGGATGTTACGGTAGGCATCCATCCATTTCGCCTGTGAGTTACGCGTCATGCTCAATCTAGTAAAGTATTTTGCTGATGAATTAAATGTAGACCCCTCTTGTAAAGATGCACAAAATTCCACTCCACTACACCTAGTGCGCAGTTGGAACACTAGAGCTGAGTTAAGTACCTGAGTGAGGATAAAAAGTGTGACGTGATGTGCAGCAATACGGTAGACTCATGCACTATGCTGCCTTAATAAGGATGCAAACCATAGTGATCTACTGGTTGACCAGCAAGATGTTGACCCTTCATGTCGAGATGCAGATGATTCAACTCCTCTTCACATTTCTGCCCAGACAAGGGACATAGAAATCGTTAGATACCTCGTGGAAGAGAAGGTTGCAGCTTGACGTGTAACGATAAGTACAAGAAAACCCCTCATTGAAGCTGCCGCAGTCAATGGAAAACTAACATCTGTGCGTTATTTGATTAGCAAAGGGGGTGGACCGTATTATAAGGGGATAATGGGCGGGTTTCTCTGCACTGCCTGTCAGAGTGGCTCTGTGAGGGTAGTGAGATATCTCATTGAAGAGGTAGGCATGGATCCACTCTGTCGTGACAACGACGACGTCACGACACTCACACTGCAGCAACACGTGGGCAAGTAGGTGTAGTGAAACTGCTGGTCGATGAATCCACTGCGACCCATTAACTAGGATAAGTGGGGAAACATCCTCTGAATCTTGCTAAGCAATACAGAAAGACCGAAGTTGTGTCCTACCGTCTTCCCTGAAACAGTCAACTTCAAGTGAGTTCTCTCTCTCTTTTAACACAGTTGTAATATAGACCTGCGTATAATACGCCTCTTATATAATAAGTATATACTATAACATCTCTTTGTCGCCTTTGCAGGGTGATATGCGTTCAGCTCTAATGCTTAGCCTAAAAGCATACACCATTAATGCAAGACCAACAGGTGTTGAATTGGGCAGTGGTACATACGGCTCGGTCATTGAGCTAATTCACTGTGGGGAGAAGGTTGCGGGGAAAAAGTTCAAGATATTGTCGCTCGACCGTATGCAGGGCAGATGAGAGAAGAAACTCTGTGGAGAAATGATTCATGATGCAAGTCCATCACAAGCACATGTCGAGAGTAGGGGGTGTGTTTTTGAGCGGTCACCCTATGCCTGTTCTATGATGGAGAGAATGATGTGTAGTCTCATGCATACTACTAGACCAAGCAAACACCAGCCTAAAAATATCACGCAAATTCTCTTTACTAATGGTGTGGCAAGTGGACTAGCCTACCTCCCACAACCACAAACCAGTGGTGGATACATCGTATCTGACTGCCAGGAACGTGTGCTCGATTCAGAATTGAATGCAAAATATGTGATTGTGGAAACTCTCGTGTGAGGATCTCGACCCAGACACCAGTCCAGAGACATTTACCAGTGTCCCAAGGCACTCTAGACTTCATGCTCCCGAAGCACTTGGTGTACTGCGGAATACGACGCAACTATAGACATATTCTCGTTTGGTCATTAGCCATTTTCACCCTCACGCAATCCACACGTTAATGTACTGCCACCGACGTACAGTGATGGAAACAAACTCCATGCCCGCTCAGAGGTAAGGAGGCGCTCTGAATCACTGTCCCTCGTGGAGAAGATGCTTGGTACTGAGCACAGATAGTACATGTGGTGAAACTCTGTCTACACAACCGACCAGCACAAAGACCACGAACATCAGAGCTGGTACAGACCCTTCAAACAATGAATAATGAAGGTATATTATATATATAGTGCCGTTTGGTGTTTACCTATATTCGTGTTTATAACTCAACATGCTCATTATTTGCCTCTTGTCCTGATTGCCTTGCCTTGTGACCCTGTTGAACAATGCATGCCCAAATTATATAGATGTAAATAGGGGGTATGTATCCACTAGCAGTGTAGTGTAGTAGTAACATTCGGATTTTTACAGAGCAACCAGGGGAGATTTTCGCTGGAAATACAAAGTGAGCTGTTTTTGGATAGTTGTAGTTCATCTTTGGACCTGCTTGTCTTCTTCTGTACACTTAGATATTTCTCGACGGTGCCACGGCTAAGTCAACTAATGTGTATGACCACATCAAAGGGGAAGAAAAAAAATATTGAATCTGTTGCCGTACACTGGAAAAATTTTGGGGCTTTTTGGACTTTGATCGCGTGGGAAATCGCTTACAGATATTGCAGTAACTGAAAGAGAGCGCTGAAGAAGCTGCATCAATGTTCCAATACTGGCTGGATGGAAATGGTGTTCCTTGCCACTGGAGTACACTAATTGACATACTAAGAACTGTCGTCTTAGTGTCTTAGCAGCTGAAGTGAAAGAACTCTCAAAACTAAGGTAAGCAGATACCACATAGGGACTACATCAGGGACATTCCTTTCGTTTCCTTGAGCAATACTCACAATAGAGCCTACACATGGGGAAGACCGTTTGATAGATTAGAGTTGCCTGCAATAAACTCATTGACATAACGACGTGTAACTCTTAGCTACATATGAGGGTCAAAACAATCAGAAAACGGCAATTTTTCATTTCATAAAAGTTCATTTGGCGCCTCGGTGATAGGGGATGAAGGAAAATATTCAAACCAGATAAAGTATTATACTGATGAGAGTAAGTAGACAAATGACTTCATGCTGTGAGATGTTAGTGTTCAGTTCAGAGTTGGAGGTGAGGTCAGTGAGGCTCGTAGGTGGGAGTGTGAGAATGCTTCTATAAAACTGAATGTGATGGAATGACGAGTCACCTCCAGCGAGTTTGTCAGGTGTAGTGAGTAGCCTGTAAGAGCTTTGTGCCGGTCTATCTATCGCTTGCAGCATCTCAAACCCTAAGCCAATTTATGCCCTTTTTCAACTTGACTGACTGGTGATTCACTGCATTCTCAAGGGTGGAGAGTATGTCGGCTGATTTGATAGATTTTAGTTGAGGTTTAACAGCAGTTTCCACCGAGTCAGTGTTGCTGAAGAGATATTATGCCGTGAGTGCATACGAGAGTGGAATCTGCATTGCTCAACAATGGAGATGTTGTAGATGTTGTGGGAGGCAATTGTTCGGAAGGTTTACTGGTAGCAATCTATCTCTATCACTGAGAGTAGTTTCCCAGGAAGCTAGCTTTCTGGGACAGGGGCCTTGCCTTCATATGGCCGGATAGCCATTAAAGTAGCACTTGACGCACGCGTCTTGCGTATACCGCACGCGGAACGCGGGTTCGCGGAAACGGCCCCGCCAAGACTAGGACCAGCAGTCCCCCGCAAACGTCAACGATCCTTAGTCGCGACAGCGGCCTTGCCTCTAGCTCCATCAGCACCATACTTCCCGCGAAGGTTGTACCTGCGACGCGCGGTTTTACCGTCGCACTGGAGGTCAGCAAGTTGAGGGTCGGATTTGCGCGGCACTGAGCGTCTAGAGAACTAACTCAGATGCAACTCAAAATCCGTTGAGGTGGGTGTGTTGAGGTAATGTCTCATTATATGCGTGCGCGTGTGGGTGGCGCATGCCATAATGAGAGTGACTTGACTACACGGTAAATAGACCGAGGCGCGTTTCGCATACGGCGGGAAAGTAATAAGGAAACTTTTACATAGTAGCTAGTATTATTGTAAACTCAGTTAAAACTTAGTTCCAGTACAGATCCTGAAGACTGAATCTCTTCTCCCTCTCTCCAGAGTTAGTGTCATTGATTCCAGCAGTAGACATAGTCACTTGACCCGTCGTCTCTTCACCTTCTTCTCTCACTCTCCCTCTGTGCCAATGACTATGGTGCTCTCTTACTGGATGCTCTGATCGCTCTGCAGATTTACCGCCTTTGATCTTGCACCAGATGTGTCCTGTGAGATACCCAAAAATACAAAGAAACAGGTTCCAACAAGAATGATGTATATGTAGGCACGTGCTCCACTTGTTGAGCTATCGCTATTTGAAACATAGAGATTTGCGGCAGAGAATACCGGGAGCATTGTCAGATGAAAGATCTCTAGTCCATTCAGGAGCCTATTCTTGTAAGGTCTTAGTGCTGCGGTGAGAGCTAGCAGCGCAGAGGATGAGAAAGTTAGAAGAAGGAGGTTGAGTTGAGGACCTGCCACTGTGTTGGTGTTGGCAATACTGGAGAACAAGGCTATGAGAATCACTCTTGCCAGCAGCAGCATTCCTGTCCAGTAGCGATGGCTGTCTTTGTATGGACCCATATGGGCATCAAAGAAAGGCTTGAATCTGCTGTACAAAGAAGACAACAGGTTACATTGTGATCTTTGAATCCAAGGAGAAGCAGTGAGAGTGAGCGTGTATGGTATTCCCCACTACCAGAAGAGCTGTTAGTGATGCTATAAACAGTATGGCATGTTTTGGGCTCAAAGTACTGGACATTTCCATCAGTCAGCCACACCACACTGTAATATCCATCAGATCCGGTCAGCGTGGTGAACGAGAAAGCGGCAATGAGGATTCGTAGGATCTTGGTGTAAGAGAGAAGGACAAGAGTCGCAAGTACTGGGACTGCATTATTAGTGTCACTTTGGAAGAGCAGGTGCTGGCGACAATGATGGCAGTGGCCATTGCCAGAATGTAGAGAGAACACAAACTGTAGCCATGTTTTCACATAGGCTGTTAGTCCATTAAAGAAACACATTGGAATTAATAGGTCCAGGTTTAACCATGCTACAAAGGATTGCGACGGGTACACTGACATTGGATGTTGTAAGTGGCAGAAAAGTTGTCCGGTTAGCTTGCAGGATATTAGCAAAAAGTATGAGTCCATTCAAAGTTCCACACTGCACACGGTTAGCAGAAACACCAGAGCCATGCCAGCCAATATGAAGACACTGATAGACATTAAGTACACATTAGAGCAGTTTTTACACTCTGACGACCAAAAATCATGCTCAGACCCGTCATCCCCCACAGAGAGCTCCTGATCGTTGATACCGACACTGAGTGTGTGGAGAGTCCAGAGTTATGTTTGTGTCCCTCGGTTGGCAATAATCAAATGGGCAATGGGTGTGAAGAAGGATGGATGAATTGGACAGCCCAATCCAGTATGGGTTAGGCCTGTTGATAAGAGCCGTTCCATTGTAAATAGAGCACTTTTTAAGTGTTGTTCTCGTGGCCCTCTAACTAGTTGGAAACCAACTGGACAGGGCAAAAGATTACCTGTACAAACACAGGAATATGGAAGAAACTCCCAAAAATTGAGTCGTAGGGTGAACGCAAGATTGGGCTAATGTTCTTGGTGTTCTGGTGTAGCTGAAAATCAAGCACACCCTTTACTTGTTCAAGTGACCTTCCGAATGACTGTGTATCCACAGCAAGTGCAATCTGCTCTTGGTCTGCCTCAGAGACTACAGAGTATCCCACTCGTTGACAATCACTGCCTCTTATCTCCTGGGATACTTGGAGGCTACTGCCAAACCAAATCCCTCCTACCTTTACTTCTGGCAACTACTGATCCAGGCACTGTTCCCAGACCATACCCCACTACAGCTAGTGAGAGGTTAAAGGGCTCTCCTGGGTAGACAGTAATGTTTGTCACAATCTTGAAACAGTCAGGTCTGCCATTTTCACAGAAGCAGACTCGAGTAGGATCAGAGGTGAAACCGGAGAGATCTGAGGAATCATTCACTCCATTGTACTGAAAGACATCCGAAACATTAGGTAGTAAGCAGTTGGAACAAAAACTTTCTCTACTGCTGGGTATATACACATGCAGAGGTCCGCCCACCATAGATGCCATTTCCAGCTATGCCTGCCCTGTTCTGGTCGAAAGAGAGTCCAAACAACCTGCAGCTGGTTGGAGACCTGTGCGCTATGACTTGAATAGAGCAAGTGGATGCCGTTGCTGTTAGAGTGTCACACGCATACCTAGGTCTTGGCTTGGAGATGAATATTGCCCCACCTAACCCTCGTGCACGGTTTCTGGCAAACTCAACTGTAGCAACAGGAGAAACGTACAAGACTGAAGAAACAAAAGACATTGCACCTCCATTGGCTGCCTCATTATCCGAGAAGGTTGCCTTGTACATGATAGAGATATCACTATTGTCTGCTGTGATTCTTCACTTTTGGCCATGTTCCCTGAATCTCTAGTCCGCCGTTGAAGTCTGCCTTCGTACTGAGGACGTTTAGAGCTCCAAATCACTGACGTTGTGGCTACAATCTCAAACCCATCCGCGGATATGGCTGTTGAGAAGAAAAGAATAGAGAATCCATTAACTGCCACATTCTCTGTGACTGAAAACTCTGAATCGTGTTCCGTTTGCCACCGTCCACCGAGAGAGAGAAGGATGGAGGAATCTCTGTATATACCTTATTGGCTGTGAAGTTAACATACGATCCTTTCTTAACTTTAGTTCTGAATTGTTGAGAAACATAACATATGAGGATATATGGCACCGATTCTCAGTAATTCCAACTCCCCTCCATTTACTGTGATAGTACAGCTGATGCATGCCAGTCAATGCTTTCTGTCGTAATACATTTCCAGTTAAAACTGAGGAGTTCAATAGTTGAGTGTCTTGTTCGTTTGTATTCCTGCTCGTTATGCAGAAATACTACCTGGTGTGATATTGATAATGGGTACTCTTAAAATTTCATCTCCATCAGTTGTATCATCATCAGGATCTCTTGCAGAAAATTTTTCACCTTTTTGGGTAATGCTGGTGTTTCAGTACTATTACTTTTGTTCTCATAATCTTTAAAGAGGCGTTGGTAATAAGACATTTTTGGTCTTGACGTTTGGGAGTGGTGATGTAAAATAACAATGTTACTCTCCTGAACTGCTGTGTTGTTTAAGACTGCTATACTTACACTGTCCTCATTGTAAGTGATGTTTCCTTTTACGTTCAATATTCCCACTCTTTTCGACAGCTGAATTCCCACTATTCGATGCTTGTGCTACCAAATAAAGCAATATCGGTCCACAGCATGTGCAACTATACTCTGATTTGTTTACAACATTATTTTCCAGCAGAATACACTGTCAAAAGATACAATTTGTGTTGTATCAACGCTGCAATGATCCCTCTATTGTGCCGTCGGGTGTCACTAATGTATATTTCAGCATGCGCGACTCGTGTTTCCCAGTAAACTTTCAAAAGCTGACCCATAATACCCATCCCTCTTCCACTGAGTTTTGATTGATCTGTAGTGATCGTGCTCCTTCAGTAAAACCACTGCTCGTAATAAGAGTGAAAATTGATGCCCCATACTTTCCAGTGTTGCTGGTAAATATGAGTTTGGATTTCGCTCACTGACGTCAAGATCAGAGCCCAACAGAAGCATAGCAGGCGAGAGCTTGCATGTCAATGGTTTTTGGAAAGGTCCATCAAGATAACTGAAGATGTGTTCGGCCCTCGACTGAACGTGATAACTGTCGGTGGCTGAGAATCCAGTTAGGGACAGCCCTGAGCTCTGTGGAGCTCTCTGGAAGATGACTTGACTGTTTTTTTTTTATATACTTGGAATGAGCTGTGATGCATTCCCAACATTCCTCTAACCACAAGGCTTCCATCTTGTAGTGAAGAGGCTGCACATCCTGTGACTACGACATTCATCATCTCTACATCACCATCATTTGATATGATCCCAGTGCTGCTGTTGGTGATAAATGTATCAACTACAAGACTCCTGGTTTCATTCACCACAACAGCTCCTTGCCGAATGTTTGATATTGTGCAGTTCTTTATTATCACATTGTAGCCATTTTCTTCTTCAACGGAAGTGCTGTAGTATTCTTCACTATCGATTACTGTCACTGCATGTCCTGGAGAATTTTGAATGTAGACAAGGTGACATTTTGTGATCCCTCAATAAGGAAGGTAGTCTTTACTTTCCGAGAATTTAGAGCAGGACAAACTTTAAGATTGCATATGGCATTTTGAGTTGTATGGAGCTGTGTAGCCACAATTCTGGATTGTCAGTCCAGTCAAGGTGATGTTGGTAGCATTGTTGCCCGTGTGGAAACCAAATCTGGACTGTGGGGAGCAGTGGATTACAGTTTCTCGTCCTTGAGAACGAATGATTGTGAGATTAGACATGGACTGGATACTTATGAACCCATACGTCTCATCCACATTGAATACCCCTCCGTCCAACACTATGACTTTGTCTGAGTCAATGATTCTTTGTAGATGGAAGAGATTTTCTGGAGTAAGTAGGCAGCTGTTACCATCACAGGCAACCTTGGGGACTAGCTCCACCGTATCACTGAGTTGCTTGGTTAACTTCTCAGATTCACACGGCCAGCTGATGAGCAGTAGAAGGAAAAGCACACTTTCTTTCATATCCAAAGTTCTACAGGAAACAATGTGCTGAAGTTATAAGCACTAAAACTGTTGAGGGGTTACCTTTGTACAGTGCTTCTTGTTCCTTTGAAATCCTGAGCTGTTCGTGAGTGGCTCAATTTTATAGTCTCAAGGAGGAAAGGATGTGATGCACTGGTGAGTCCTAGAAACCTCAAATGATCCTATTTCCACTCATTTACTACTGGGATGGGCAGAGGAATTCACAGGGTGTTGTGTCACTCACTGGACTTCCCACATTAGGTATTGTTGCGGATTTGTAATTAATGCCATAAACTTTAGGGGTGCCTAGCGGGACACCCTCTTTGATACCCACCACCCGAGTGCCACATTTATCAAGTTAAGTACCTGCCCTGTTACATTTGGAAAGAGTTGATTATGTAACCACAAAAGCAGCCCATAGTCCATAATGCACCTTGTGTCCAAACAGGGATCATCCTCTTATCTTCACTGAATGTTGTTGTCTTTTTGCTTCTGTTTTTTATTGTTTGCTGAATGTAGCGTTCCTTGCAACGAATGTAACCTGACACACACATGCATGCCTATACATGGAGTTTACACCAGCATACTACCTACAGTACCACATCAAGCCACATGTCCAACAGAACACTATGTCTTTGTAATGAAAGGGATAGGGGTATTGTGTAACATGTTTTATAAGGGGCTACTCTGGCAATTACTCACTCTTGTCCGTTGGTCATGGCTCACACGAGGCACATCAGCATAGGACATGATATCAAGTCTGGCACACAGCATGACTTCCACTACAAGAGTCAGGTCACCTTATATCCCTACCTGTAACGCTGATGGGAGGACTGTGGTCATATTATGATCTCACATAGAGTAACAGAGGTCTGTGACCTAGCAGGCACACATACACTAGGTTTTCACAATATGACTTGTAGTATGTCATAATGCTGAATTTCTGTTGTCTAGGAAGTTGATTCCACCCCTTAGTGAAAAAAAACTCAGTCTCATGGTTACTGGTCTGGCGCTCTGTAGATAGTTATGCTATTTTATACGCAAAACCCACAACCCACAATATTGTTAAAGATAGAGGAAACACATTGTACTATCTTTTTTTAAATGAGAAGGTTTGGAATACCACTGAGACTGCGGCAAAAGATGGATTGGTTTAATGCACCTATCAGCCCCACCTTCCTCCATGTGTGCGTACAGGTAATCAGGTAGGGATTCGCATGCAAAAGGCACCCTTGTTCACTTGCTAACTATAGGACATAATGGCCTAAACCTTTCAAATACAAGCGGCATCTGGGTGCTGATACTTAGGTATTGGGGCTCAAAAGTGAGATCTACTGACGGAAATCTTGTCTCAATCTCTGGAGCGGGGAACTCAGGGCTAACATTGTTGCAGAATGACACTTTGTCAGACTACATAACTGGAAGCTTCAAGAACTTTCCTACAACTACAAGTAGCTTCCTGGACTAATAACATGATATCACTTGCATCAGCACCTAACTAGGGAGTTCTAGAACAGTCTAAGGTTCAAATGCTACCATGTGCTTTTGCTATGTACATCATTCTAGAACATTCTGTTATAGCCGCACCATTTCACCACTTGAGTTGTGTCAGTCACCTGCACTAACTATCGTCAATATTCAACTACGGATTTCAACTAGCGAAGTCGCTGCAGCGCAAGCAGTCCTGCTACTCTGCGACAAACTTTACATACAGAATTCTAGTTGATGCAGGTGATGCTAGTTTGACAGAGTTAAAGAAATATACATTACAAAAAGAGGCTGATTGAAAGGTTCACTGAGAAAGCGCGGCATCTTAGGTGATGCAGTAAACGACGTATGAAGGGGTATATAATATAAACAATCACAGAGAAAGAGATAATGTGCGGGCATGGAAAAAAATAAATTGCACATTGGATAACATATGAAGCTTAGATGAGGTGATTGTATATACAAAACTAATTGATATTTGACGAAGACTAATAAACCTCAAAACGCCGACATTTTTTGGAATCTGTACAAACATCCTTTATCATGATCGCATAAGGTAGCTTTGTTTTGGTGAGTGTGTGTTTGTGAGTTTGTGTGTGTGATTGTGCTAAGAGCAAGAATAGTATCAGAAATATTGGGCAGTTGTGTGTTGTTAGCTTCCACTGCTCTCAATGAGTTGATAGATGTGGTGTTTCAATCCATCCTCTGTCGAACGGACCTCAAAGACGAATGCCAGACACAGCAATGTTTCCTGTGTATCTCCGAGGCATGACTGACTTATACTTTTTCAAAGACTTGTTTTCCAAAAGAGCAGACTTTAGAGATGGTCACGTTTTGCTGGACTCATGCTGACTAGTCACCCCATAGAATACCTTTGAATCTGGTTCTCAGACCTTTCCTTCATCTCTCCTAATATAAGGGGAGGGCGGTCTACTAAAAGTTATTGGATGAACCATTATTATACTAGACTGCTCTCCCCTCCCTTCTCCTCCTCCCTGTTCCCCATCCTCATCTTTCCAAGGTGACATTGAAGATCATGTGGTATTCATCAACACATGTTACGTGGTGTGAGATTGGAGCCAACAACAACGGCCCTACTTTTAGGTATGTATAGTAACAAAAAGAGGTCCTCCGCATAGGGCACTTTGTGGTTCCCTTTATTAACAGCAGCGAGGGTTATTGCAGTCGATCTGTGTGTGTGTGTTTGTGGGGGTGATTGAGGAGAAAGGGAGGGAAAGGGGGAGAAAGGAAAGCGACCAAACACAAACACAATAAGACCAGAGGCTGGGAGACTTTTGTCAACTTCACTACACGCGGCAGCTCAGTGGTCCAAATTACATGTATTTTTAGATTTACCAGGGTACCCATTTCTGTTTCAGTGTTTTGCGCCTGTGCAGCCCTAGCCTATCACATTGTAGTTACACAGTCTCACTCATACAAACACAAAGAGCAGGACATGGATGCCCAGCCTTGAGAACTGGGGACGGTGGGTTAAAGATCTTTGATGGCTAGCCAACTCTCCCCACACATCCAATGTCACAGACTCTCGTGCAAAATCTACAGCTTACAGTACTGTATTGAAGTTGTTACAATCACATACCGTAGGCTCTCTGGGGGACTTGCAATCCTATGGTTCTACTAATGCACAGTGGGGTATTTATAGGGAGTTATGATGTCATAGGTAGGGAATTTCCTAAGGGGGAAGTGGGTTTGTTACTCTATGGTCCTGGTGATGTATTTTACTCTAGTGATAGTCAGAAGTGTAAAAATGGTGTGTATGTGTGTGTGTGTGTGTGTGTGTGAGGCGACACTGTTTTGGGATTTAGATAGACATCTAGGGTGTTTAGGCAAACAGTTATGAGAAGACCAGGGTGTCTAGTCTGGTGATAATCACAGGTGTAAAACATGATGCTGTGTGTGTGTGTGTGTGTGTGTGTTTGTGATTGGAGAAAGAAGAGAGAGAGGTAAAGTGTAGGCAGGACTAAAGCTAACAAGAGAGGGCGGGCGGCTTTTGTCGGCGTCACCGCATGCAGCCAGCCAGGTGCTTAAACGTACATGTAAACCTATCCACAAGTCCAGCAACATGCAGGTGCAGTGCTAGGCTCTTTGTTACTGGTCATCAGGGGAGTTCCCAATCTTTCACCACGTCACACGCGTTTAAACTCCCGACACGTGAGACGCTCCAGAAAGGGTGAGGCCAGTCCACCTGGTTGGAGTCCAGATTTGCCTACTACATGGCTACAATTATTGTACTTACAAACTAACCTACATTACACAAAGGCAATTTTAGTATAGCAGCTACCTATCCTTAGTAATAACTTGCTTCATTTCTTTGGTCTTCTCTATTCTTCACTTCTTTCTTTCTTCACTCTTGCTCCTAACTGAGCTACTACAGGCAAGCTTGGCTGTTTTATACCTTGTTGTGGATGTTATGTCTACTAAGGTCAAAACTTCCCATGCTGTTAATTAGAGAGAGAGAGTGTTTGTGTGTGTGTGTGTGAAATAAAAAACCCACAGTAGTGGGGGGCAGGGTCCCCACTACTGTGGGTTGGCCCCACCCCCTCACAATGGGGTGACTAGGGGTATAGCAGTTATGGGACTGCCATCTAGGGTTTTTAGGCAAACAGTTATGAGAAGACCAGGGTGCCTAGTAATAAATTTCCAGAGCCAAGAAGCCAAGCAGAGCAGCTGCAAAGCCAGGGCAGTAGATTTTAAAGCCTGAGCACTACTGTAAGGCTGCACTTGAGACTGCAACCCCACTCCAAAAGGTAGCCGTGGAAACTGGGTACTCCACTGGGGATTATCCAACCCGGCCATGTCGTGCCACTACAGCACTAGGCCCCGCACTCGAAAGCACGTGGGTGTTTGTGATTGGGGAAAGAAGAGAGAGGGGTAAAGTGTAGGCAGGACTAAAGCTAACGAGAGAGGGCGGGCGGCTTTTGTCGGCGTCACCGCATGCAGCCAGCCAGGTGCTTAAACGTACATGTAAACCTATCCACAAGTCCAGCAACATGCAGGTGCAGTGTTAGGCTCTTTGTTACTGGTCTTCAGGGGAGTTCCCAATCTTTCACCACGTCACACGCGTTTCGGCCTCTTTAAACTCCCGACACATGAGACACTCCAGAAAGGGCGAGGCCAGTCCACCTGGTTGGAGTCCAGATTTGCCTACTACATGGCTCCAATTATTGTACTTACAAACTAACCTACATTACACAAAGGCAATTTTAGTAAAGCAGCTACGTATCCTTAGTAATAACTTGCTTCATTTCTTTGGTCTTCTCTATTCTTCACTTCTATCTTTCTTAACTCTTGCTAGCTACTACAGGCAAGCTTGGCTGTTTTATACCTTGTTGTGGATGTTATGTCTACTAAAGTCAAAACTTCCCATGCTGTTAATTAGAGAGAGAGAGTGTTTGTGTATGTGTGTGTTGGTATGGGTTAAGAAGAGAAAGGAGGGGGAGAGTTGTGGGGAACGAGGTGTAGTGACAGAGACCAGGGGGGGACTTGTCGGCGTCATCAAAGCACCGGACATACACTCAGGCTGGAGTTACAAACTGCACAGGAAGTTTACCTACATCCTTACTGCCTTGTTGTGACAAGATTAGACAAGACACACATACCTGCCTTGGGTCATATATACCTGCTGGCATCTTCTTACAACCACCCCGTGGAGTATACACCAATAATTGCGTGGGCGGTTGAGCATGCACGTTACTTTTACCACAATTACAGGGATGGCAATGGGGATTTTTTACTCCAAGTGTGTGTGTGTGTGTTTGCATGGGAGAAGAGAGAAAGAAGAGTGCTAGGGATTGAGGGGCTTTTGTCCGTGGTCACATGCATTGGCTTTTTGAATGCCTGTACACGACAGTCCCACAACTCACCCCCAAACCCAACAACTAGAGAACCCTGTTTGTACTGTCTAGTTTGTCTGTCATACCTACTGCACCAGTCATCAGGGGAGCTCCTCAGCAGATCATCGTGTAGGTCACAGGTTTCGGTCCCTTTAATCTCCCCACCTGTGCCTCACTACCACTGGGGCGGGCGGATCAACTATAATATTCGCCACCTCCACGCAACGGTTACGCAACTGTTGCGCAACCATTACCGAACTGCTACGCATCCAATACGCAACATTTTCATCTTGTGGGAGCTGTTCCAAAGCTATGGTGTCGATGGTAATACCCAAGGACCTGCTCCAGTGGGGAAAAGGGTGGGGAAGGAACAGGTGAAGTAGCCCTCAGTGGTGAACTCATTGAGTGGCATTCCACCAATGGAGGGCCACATCAGAGGTGTGTGGGAGGAGGAGCTGGATTGACGCTGATCCACTGACTGCTGCACTGCCTCCTGCTCCGTCATTGAGGGGACAGCAATAGGAACGAATGACTGTTGCAGATGGTCATCGTACAATGTATCATTGGTTATATCCCTAGAAGTGCTGTCAACTGTTGATGTGCTGGTACAACTGTCTGAGGGCAAGGTCTCTTGAGTGACTGATACGAGGTCAGAAACATTTTCATCTTGTGGGAGCTGTTCCAAAGCTATGGTTTCGATGGTAATACCCAAGGATCGATAGTACTGATTGTGGATAACCATGGCCATTGCAGAGCTCTGTGAACTACACTTCGCCTTACTCGGAAGTCACGATGGGTCTGTTTGGCTCCTTCCCTCCTCACAACAATGACATCCAGGTCAGAAGGCAGTTGTGGCAAACTCTGGGCGAAGGAGGCCACATCCTGTGGCAGGTTAACTACATGTCCTGTGTACCCGTACTGCCTCTGTGGCAGTCTGTACAGCGACATGATGGGCATCACTGCAGAGATGAGCATCTCTTCCACCTGTGTCAGACCCTGTGAAAATGTGAAGTATAAACAGTATCTGATAATAGTGTTTTTCTTTGCACAATCATTACAATAGGTGTGGCAATCGTAACAATCTTCCAATCCCATACTTACAGATTATGCATGTGGAAGAGGACCAGGGTCCATGTTGTTCAGTGACGAGTAAGCTTTAGGACTGTGTTTGTCCCGAACACAATGCAAACACTCTGTACCAGATGGAGTCATGCGGACAGTCAAGCCAGGGAACCTCTCACGGCAGGTGATGCACAGGGACATCTGCAAAGATGCCATTTCGGAATGGAACTTGCTCATCTTTGATTGGACAATTGGCTGGTGAAGTTGAGGTTGGTTTGAAGTGGCAGTACTTGCCTGCTGTATGTGACTTTCTCGGTCACGCTGACGTCTTGCTTCAGTCTCTTGTGGAGTCTCTGAGGCAATCCGTTGTTGTTGGTTATGTCGTAACAGCTGTAGGCGGACCTCTCTCTCCTCGCTGGACTCGGCAGCAATTCGTCTTGCCTGGTAGCTTCGGAGCTGTGCGAGCCTGGCCTGTTCCGTTTCCCCTGATTCTGCAGCGTGTGTCTTGGTCTATATTGTACACGACGTCTTGCTAGTCGTGCTTCCCTTTCTTCGGCTGTTTCGGCGGCGAGGCATTCCCTTGCCCGTTCCCTATCACGCAGTCGGCGTTGAGAAAGCCGAGCCTGTCTCTGCTCAGGAGTCTCACAGTTGTCAGACTATGAACACACGTGCATATGTAATGAGGCCGCGCATGCGCACTTACACGACGTATATACGGACGGACGGACGCACGGACGTATATATAATTGCGCCGTTCGGACCACTAGGTTAGCTCGCTCCCGCTCGCCAATTAATGTGGCGATTTTCCCGAAACGACTGCGTTCCAGAGATATGGCGTGAAAACAAGCGAAAAAGCCAACGCGCGGTCTATCGCGCACGCGCCCTCTCCTGCAGCTACTATATAGTGCGCACGCGTCATGTCAATTAATCGCCGGAGCATGCACTACGACACGTTGGTTGTATATACGATCCACGGCCTCCTGTCAGTTTTGATCTCTGTTCCCTATGGATAAACGATAAACATGCTCAGCAAGGTATGTTCGCAATGTAGCATATTAGTTCAGGTGGCGAGCAGTTTGTGGTTGCGGCCTTGCCTTCCCATGTCTGGCGAGAGCATTAAAACACAGAAGAGCAGATAGATTGAATAAAGCAAATATGAGAGCCTCTGAAACACCTGAGCTATTGCTCTAACCGCTAATGCAACTACCCTGTGTTACGGTGAGACTCGTGTTACTGGCTCCGTCGATGACGCACGGCCCAGCATACAGCGATGCCAAGTTTACCGCCGAGGGTTTGCACTTTAGTGCTTTTCATTTAGAAAGCTTCAGTACTAAACATGAAATTACACAACTAGTATTGCTGGCATACATACGTAGTACATAACACAAATTAATATCATTCGCACATGAAAAGCTTGCTAGCTAGCTACATAGACAAAAGTTCTGAAACCAATCCAGGTCGTTACTCTTTTTGACTCACTAGTGTTCGATTTTCCAGATATTATTTTTCTGCAATGTTGCCGTTAGCTCAAACACTTTGTGTGGAAATTTCAATTCTCCACTTTGAGTGATGGTCTTTATGTCCATGAACATACCCTCAGTCACTTCATTCATAGCGCTGATCCAGTAATTTGGTTTGGGGATAAACACGTGCTTCATCTTCGACGTCGCATTCGCAACATAGATGGTTTTGCCCGACATGCCGACCCCTACAGCAAACCTATTTGGTGGGATATTATCACCGTCAATGATCGTTAGGGTACCTTTCTCTCCTCCACCAAAAGCATCAGATAGATGTGGGGTGTCGTCGCAAAAGCTGAAATTCACGACGTTTTTATCTTTAGGGTCGCATTCCTTGTGCCCAGTAGCACGAAACGCTACACCGGGCCTTATTTTCTCCACTTCGGACCACACGAAGCTGTATTTCGCCTTCCACGAAAAGGTAATTTTATCGCCTACCGGTATTTCGGGAGACACAAACCAAGCTGGAACTACATCACTTTCTGTTGGATTTGTCTGATAGAGTAAGAACTTCCACGCTCTGTTTCCGCCGTTCACGATCGAGACGCTGAAAGTGTGCCTCTCGCTGTTACCATCTTCGCGATGATGATGGTCCTGGCTGTGCTCGCTTCTTTCTGAATGCCCTGCCATTCAAGCTCTCTTCAGTCTAAAGGAAATAAGTAGCTACGTCCTTTGTTCAGATTTTTGATTCAGCGAAAGCCCTGCGGCTTGCGCGAGCCGCACTCTTCCCTCGCCGAGCGACGTGATGTGATCGCAAACAGGATGCCGATCGCGCGAGTAGGGTCAGGGTACGATCGCGAGCTAGCGTATATAATGTGCGCAAACGCTTACGGTTTGCGAGAGGCAAAAGAATAAAAAAATCTTCAGAACCACCCTCGGAACCACCGCATTTGGAAATGACTTCGACCACCTACACCGTCACAGTCATCAACGACAGTGCTGATGCTTGGAAGTTTTACGTTTTCCAGCAGCCACCCTCCATCGCAAACAATCTCAGTTTGGCCTGGTTTGCTTCTCCCTACAAAATCGCGCCAAAGGACCAAGTTCAATTTCAATGGAATATTCAGTACTCGTTTGTATGGTCGGACACCGGAATTGTAAAGCCAGGAGTAAAATTTACGGCAACAGGGTTGAAAGACTGTGACCCCCAAAATAAGAACCTCACAACTTTCGATTTCATAAATGACACCCCCCAGCTCTCTGATCCTACCTCGGGAGGGATTGCCGGCAGCCTACTCATCAAAGATGGCCCTAGCGTTCCATCGAATAAATTTGCAGTTGGCGTTGGCATGTCGGGAAAAGGTACTTACGTTGTAAACGCAGGGCCCAACCTGAAACACAAATTTACCGCTGACCCGCTGTACTTCGTTGTTGCCGCTGACGAAGTGGTAGAGGGTCAAGTTATGGATATAACAACCATCACTCAATCCGGATCTTTGATTTTCCCCCCCAATGTGCTCGATCTGACGGCGACACTGTTAGCTGACAATACGTGGAAAATTACACCCGGCGCCTCGAAGAAGAAAACCAAGTGTTAACTTTTGACTATGGTTTAGCAGTAGATATGGATAATGATTTAGCAATAGATATTAGTTCGTTACTGTCGTATCCTGTGTAGTAATAATTAAAATGGGAAGTCAGTTGAGTCTCAAAAAAGTCACTGGGAGACTGCGCCCGCGCGCGGAAAAACGCGCTCGTACGGCGAAGCCTGCAGCCTCTGGCCGTTGCGCAAAGGTCGACACAACTTCGTTGTGTGAGTCATGCAACTTACAGTTTTACATGAAAATCGGAGTGTCGTCGTGTGGACCATAATTAAACTGAAGTTGCTTCAGTGTCTCGACAAAAGTGTAAAGCGTCGGTAGACGTGATGGCACGTGTAAAATCTCACGTGATCCGCGTACACGAAAAAAACGCCTAATAACTCGACGAGAATAACTATATCAGGAAACAAGCAACAGGCAAGAGAAGGAGAGAGAGATTGCGTGTGTAAGTAAAAATGGGCAAAGAAGAAAAGTGTAAGGGAGTGGGTACATCAATAGATGCTAGATGTAGCAAATGTGCTGATACCTTGCCAGGCTACTAGAGAAGGAGGAATCAGTAATCTGGAAGGAAAGACGACGAGAATGGTGCTCAGTATTGCTGGCATACATACGTTGGGTCCCCAGATAGGCATGAGCCCAGCTTCAGATAGCAATAGTCTACGAGCCAATATCTAGCTACACATAATGCTCAAATACTTTATACGTGCCATCAGTTCTCCACGCGAGAATTCGCTCCTATATTATCGTGTTATCATACTTCTTCAGACCAGCTATCTCCTTACCGGTAAGGATAGTGTCATGTTGATTTGTGTCCTAGCTGTAAAATTACCCCTTGTTCTTTCCTCTTTGATGCTTTGTGCCATTCATATGATTTTTATGATTTTTTCAACTTGTAATAATTATATATCGACTAATATTCGCCTGTCTCCTGCAACGTCATTAGGTGGGTATTAATGGGGAAAGAAGAGATGTTATCTATCGCACGAAACCGATTGTTTGCTAACCAATCGTGCCCATACAACTAATAATTGTTGTCTTAGATAGGTCCTTAAAAACAGAGCCGACCGGAGCTTCATCTTTCGCTGCATGTGCGGAGGTTTTCACGTTTCTTGTCTCAAGTAGAAATATATGAAGAGTATAATATTATTATAATGGCTACCAGTAGGGAGAATTTCGATTGTTGGGAGGTTGTTCACTGATCGGATAAATTAACTGGAGATTATCCAGTATGTCGATAAGCGATAAGACAAAGTATAGGGATGGTGTGTGTGTCTTGGGTGTGTAATGACTTCCTTTTAGACATTTTGAGTCATCCCCATATCCCCCTTCATTTTGTAGAAATGATTTTTCACGAGTAGCTATATAGATAATCCGATGATTAGGTAGGCTCCCTTCGCTCTGGGGCTTATCTAAACCATCAGCCCATTTTTGCCACCATTGTGGTAGCTATGCAAACCGTGTAGTAAAACATTTGAATCAGCACTCATAAAATCGAGCCGAAAATACCCCATTTATAGCTGAAAAAGGGGTAGCTACTTTGTTATGATTCTGTAAGGTAGTTTAATGTCATCTCTATAGGAAGGGTCAACACAATACATCAGTAATGTGACATCAGCAGATAGTACAAACATTGTGCAGTTATTGCTAGAAAGAGCTTGTGGTTTGTAGCTTGGTGCCCACTGCAGCCCTTACAGCCCTTGTGAGGTTTGTAGCAATGATCCCACAAGGGCCAGAGGATGTGAACACTCTAGACAGGGTTTTGCATTAATAGATAGGAATTTACAGTAGAATCTAGTGGAATCTGGACTCTGCTGACCTGAAGGATCAACACAATACACCAGGAATGCGATATCAGCAGATAGTACAAACATTGTGTAGTTATAGCTAGTAAGAGCTTGTGGTTTGTATAGCTTGGTGCCCACTGCAGCCCTTACAGCCCTTGTGAGGTTTGTAGCAATGATCCCACAAGGGCCAGAGGATGTGAACACTCTAGACAGGGTTTTGCATTAATAGATAGGAATTTACAGTAGAATCTAGTGGAATCTGGACTCTGCTGACCTGAAGGATCAACACAATACACCAGGAATGCGATATCAGCAGATAGTACAAACATTGTGTAGTTATAGCTAGTAAGAGCTTGTGGTTTGTATAGCTTGGTGCCCACTGCAGCCCTTACAGCCCTTGTGAGGTTTGTAGCAATGATCCCACAAGGGCCAGAGGATGTGAACACTCTAGACAGGGTTTTGCATTAATAGATAGGGATTCACTGTAGAATCTACTGGAATCTGGGCTCTGCTGACGGAAGGGTCAACACAATACATCAGGAATGCGATATCAGCAGATAGAGGTGTGCATGAGTAGATAGGGATTCACTGTAGAATCTACTGGAATCTTGGGTTCTGCTGACAGAGGGTTTTACTTGACCCTTACAATGACCACTTTTACAGGGCTGGAAGGAGACGATAATAATTATAATATCTACAATGCATGACCTTCGAATTGATTGATGGATGCACAGCAGCAGTTAGGTAGCACACAGTCCTCCAATTTCCACAATCCTCTGCAAGATACCTAGGGTGTCTGCTGGTCTCTCAAAATTACAACTAGACACACACACACACACGAACCCTTCATTGCAAAACATTATAGTACTTTTTAACCAAACATAAACACGGTACCAAACTTAAATTACAGCATATATTACGGAGTGGAATAGCTACAAATTCTCTGCTGTTGTGTGTCATATTATCACTTGCAGAATTCAGACAACTGATGTTGCACCTTTGTTGTTTTGCACTGGAGTAGTAATCACAAGGGCCACCATATTTTCAGTTGCACAAACACACACAGAGGAGGAAAACCAGCATCCCACCTAACTGATAAGGTAACTTGTAATGCGGAAAGAGAGTTATCTAAGCGTAAGTAAGGACCAAAGCATGCAAACCACAATGCCAGAAACTATGCGTTTCCTTGCCACATAATGTGGACACACCTTCATTGGCTGTGATAAGGCTCAGATGACCCTATGTTGTCATATAATACCCACAAGGGCTCTTTCCTTGTCGAACACCACAAAGGAAAAAGAACCAGCTTAGCTACTACACACTGCCCTATCTCTGGGTTGCCTCTAGGGTGATATTAGCCGTATTCAGGGCTGGTACATAGTAGTTCTCTTTACCATGTTATGCGGAAATGGAGTAAGCGTGGGTTAAGAATGAATAAAGCATGCAAACCACACATAACTGAATTGATACTGTGTTTCCTTGTCACACAATGTGAACAGGCTGCAATACGACTCATGGCCTCATGTTGTAAAAACACACTAATCCCCTGTAATACCCGCAAGGGCTCTTCCCTGAAGGAAGCCAGATAGTCACACATTCCACACTGCCCTATCCTACTAGTAGCTTGATGATCTTACGAGGGATACCAATATCGGGCCATACTTTACTTTGTTCAGGGGATGATAACCTAGTGGTCCGAACGGCGCGATTTGATACAGTTCAACTGCACATGCGTTTTGATTACGCGCAATACACGGTGCCACATCATCCTTGATGCATGATCTAGCTAGCCAGCGAGAGCTCTCCTCCATTCGACGGCATTCGCTGCGCTCTTTGGTACCAAACTGAAACTGCACTTCTTTCCAATCTTTGTGCTTTCAAGGTGAAAGTTGTATAATAGGCTAGGGTGGCTCGTGCAGATAGCTAAATGTCATTGTGTGCCCGCTCGCCTGCTTTCGCCTACTATCTAGTAATGAAAAGCACTAAAGTGCAAACCTTCGGCGAACTGCGCATGCGCGTAACCGCTAATTGATGGGCTGGGCTATTGTATGCGTTTACTCGTGGTCTCCTGCTAGTAGCTCGCGGAGAGACTGACACGAGCTAGCTACAGTGGTAGATAGCATGCAGGAGTCGATACACGCCCTTCGTTGTGACTTCTTGTGTCTCCAAGGTACACAGAGCAAGCGGACGCGGTCGAGGTAAGCCTGTGCTAATTAGCACATTGGCTTGTTCACTCGGTTTTCACACCATAACTTTTGAACGCAGTACTTTCAGGAAAATCGCCAATTTTAAAAACTAAGCCAGTGTAGCACTGAACCCGTTGGTGTCGCGTTTGTTGCACGTGGAGGTAGAAAACGTGGTAACAGACAGACACAGACCAAGTACTGTAACTCTCGCTGCGCATGCGCGCCGAGGGTTAATAATTTCCTGCATAAAAAAATCCAAAGTTCGTGTTCAATGGGCCCCGCCCGGGCATGACATGTATACAGAAAGAGTTAGGGACAATCACAATAGTCATAAGAAGCATACAGAGTTGCCAACCCCATGCAATTTCAACAACAGCAAACACCTGATACCTATACAGTTAGCTAGGACTTATTTGAGAGTGACTTATACGTTGCACCATTATCATTTTGACCAGACTCAGCACTTGATGAATGGCTATCGAAGCCACGTGAGGACGATGATGAAGATGGCTGTCAGTCCATAATCACACATGAGCCCACGTTCCCCACACTGCCGTTCGCGTCGTAGTACGTCGGTTGAACGCACGTGCGTGTGATGTGGCGGCGCAGCGCACGAGAGGGAGGTGCGCGCACGACGGAGGAACGGAAACCATTATCTTTCACGAAATCGGTTTCTGCGCCCGATCGGCGTTTTGCAGCACGCATGCGTTATTCTGCCCAAATCGACACACCCCTTTCATCCCGCGCACGCGCGTTATGGCGATCTTTCTTCCTGCCGTTTTACACAGCCTCTGTGCCTGCCTTTCATCCTGCTGAGACTGACATGTCTCACTCTATGCGGACCTTTTGGTTTTTTTAAAATAGGGTCCACACGACGACATCCCGATTTTCATGTAAAAATGTAAGTTGCATGACTCACACAGCGAAGTTGTTTTGGCCTTTGCGCAACAGCCAGAGGCTGCAGCCTTCGCCGTACGAGCACGCATTTCCGCGCGCGGGCGCAGTCTCCCAGTGATTTTTTGAGACTCAATTGACTCCCCTTTTAATTATTACTACACAGGATACGACAGTAACGAACTAATATCTATTGCTAAATCATTATCCATATCTACTGCTAAACCATAGTCAACATTCAACGATTGGTTTTTTATTCAAGGCGGGTGTAACGTCCCACGTATTGTTTGATGTCAGTGTCGCCGTCAGATCAAAACCAAAGGCCCGGATTGAGTGATGGTTTTTATATCCATAACTTCACCCTCTATCACTTCGTTAGCGGCAACAACGTAGTACTCCGGTTTAGGAGTAAATTGGTGTGTCTGGTTGGGCCCTGCGTTTACAAACGTCAATACCTTTGCCCGACATGCCAACGCCAACTGCAAATTTATTCGGCTGAACGGTGTTGCCATCATGGATGGTTAGGCTGCCGGTTGTCCCTCCCGAAGTAGGAGCAGAGAGCTGGGGGGTGTCATTTGTGACATCGAAATTTGTGAAGTTTTTACCTGCGGGGTCACATTCTTTCAACCCTGTTGCCGTAAATTATATTCCTTTCTTTAAAATTCCGGTCTGGGACCATACAAACGAGTACTGAATATTCCAGGAAAACTTAAATTATTAGCAGGTGTTTTTATGTATTTTTGGCGAGTGGGAACGATCCATCTGTGGGTATACAGCCGTTGGTGAGCATACAACTAAAACACCCTATCCTCTGCCAGCTAAGTTGTTGGAGTGTGACTTCCATGAGGAAGCTACCTGGATGAGTGAGAGAACCGAGTGAATATCAAACACAGAGTGTTACTAAGTAGGGAAACAAGAGCTAGTACACAGATCACAGGTTTGACCTAGCAAAGACACTCAGATATTTACACGCAGTGTGTTGTTTTGTGAAAATGACATCTTAACAACAAAAAGACTTGTCAAGAATTTTTTCTGAAGGCAGAGATAGTGAGGACAGGTCAATGAGAATCCATCGATTGCCGAGATCCTGAAGAGCACCCATGCCCTGTATATAGGTGATCAAGGGTGAATGTGGGAACGTCTGGGGATAGTGCAGAGGTGGGGATTCTGGCAACACACAGGATGACGTATGTGATCTTAAACTTTGTCTAGCTCCAACATCTTGGAAAGTTAAAACTAGCTACCTTCTGCATACACATAATTTTGTTGGAACTTGCTTATTTGTATTTTTGGGTATCTCATGGGGCGCGTCTTGTGCAAGTTCACAGAGGCCGTAATTGGCCAGAGCATCCAGTAAGAGAGCAACGTAGTCATTGGCACAAAGGGATAGTGAGAGAAGAAGGTGAAGAGACGACGGGTCAAGTGACTATGTCTACTGCTGGAATCAATGACACTACTCTGGAGAGAGGGAGAAGAGATTCAGTCTTCAGGAATCTGCACTGGAACTAAGTTTCAACTGAGTTTACAATTTCCTTATTACTTTCCCGCTGTATGCGCCTCGTAGAAACGCGTTCGCTCGCCTCGGTCTATTTTCGTGTAGTCAAGTCACTCGCACCACCAGCTAGCGTGCATTACTACGCTGAGGCCACATTCTAGCGCACTCACGCGCCGGCGACGAGCATGCGCACATGAGAATATCAGTTTGCTCGTGATGTGCCTAAGTCAGTTCTATTTTGCTGAAGTCACTATAGCTAAAATATAGCTATGGAGAACGACCCCTCGGTGATGACGGCGCCCATGAAGCTAAATCTTGCTATAAAGAATGGGGGACCATGTCGAGTTCAAGCGTCTGGTGGAAGAGGGACACGTTAACCCGCGCTCTGAAGAAGCCAAGGATCCTTATATCGGAGCGTCTCCTGTTTACTGGGCCTCGAAACAAGGCCAGTTACACATCCTAAAATACCTGCTAGAAGAAAAAAAGTGCGACGTGATGGGTAAAAATGCGCACGGGGATGCTCCTCTTCACGGCGCGGCGCTTGGTGGTAGCATAGACGTGATGCGGTACCTCGTTACGAGAAAGGGTTGCGATCCGATGTGCCGTGGTTGGAACGGTAGAACCCCTCTCCACTGCGCCTGTCGCAACGGGCACCTTGCCGCGGCCAAGTACCTAATAGTTGAGTTGGGCATCTACGCTTCTTGCCGCGACGACTTCGATTCCACCCCAATTCATGCAGCAGCGCAATTCGGAACACTTGAAGTGACAAAATATCTAGTCGAGGAAGAGCGCTGCGACGTGATGATAAAGAATAAGAGTGGGGGTGACGCGCTGTGTGTAGCTGCCTTCGGTGGCAAACTCAATATAGTCCAGTACCTGATCCAAGAGAGAAAATGCGACCCAATGACAAGAGGGATTTACGGTAGGCATCCCATCCATTTCGCCTGTGGTTACGGTCATCTCAATCTAGTAAAGTATTTTGCTGATGAATTAAATGTAGACCCCTCTTGTAAAGATGCACAAAATTCCACTCCACTACACCTAGCTGCGCAGTTTGGAACACTAGAGCTAGTTAAGTACCTGAGTGAGGATAAAAAGTGTGACGTGATGTGCAGGGGACAATACGGTAGGACTCCATTGCACTATGCCTGCCTTAATAAGGATGCAACCATAGTGATCTACCTGGTTGACCAGCAAGATGTTGACCCTTCATGTCGAGATGCAGATGATTCAACTCCTCTTCACATTTCTGCCCAGCAAGGGACAATAGAAATCGTTAGATACCTCGTGGAAGAGAAAGGTTGCAGCTTGACGTGTAACGATAAGTACAAGAAAACCCCTCTTGAAGCTGCCGCAGTCAATGGAAAACTAACATCTGTGCGTTATTTGATTAGCAAAGGGGGTGACCCGTATTATAAGGGGGATAATGGGCGGGTTTCTCTGCACTGGGCCTGTCAGAGTGGCTCTGTTGAGGTAGTGAGATATCTCATTGAAGAGGTAGGCATGGATCCACTCTGTCGTGACAACGACGACGTCACGACACTCCACACTGCAGCACACTGTGGGCAAGTAGGTGTAGTGAAACTGCTGGTCGATGAATTCCACTGCGACCCATTAACTAAGGATAAGTGGGGAACATTCCTCTGAATGTTGCTAAGCAATACAGAAAGACCGAAGTTGTGTCCTACCTGTCTTCCCTGAAACAGTCAACTTCAAGTGAGTTCTCTCTCTCTTTTAACACAGTTGTATATATAGACCTGCGTATAATACGCCTCTTATATAATAAGTATATACTATAACATCTCTTTGTCGCCTTTGCAGGTGATATGCGTTCAGCTCTAATGCTTCGCCTAAAAGCATACACCATTAATGCAAGACCAACAGGTGTTGAATTGGGCAGTGGTACATACGGCTCGGTCATTGAGCTAATTCACTGTGGGGAGAAGGTTGCGGGGAAAAAGTTCAAAATATCATCGCTCGACCGTATGCAGGCAATGACAGAGAAACTCTGTGGAGAAATGATTCCAATGATGCAAGTCCATCACAAGCACATTGTCGAGAGTAAGGGGGTGTTTTTTTTGAGCGGTCACCCTATGCCTGTTCTATTGATGGAGAGAATGATGTGTAGTCTTCATGCATACTTACTAGACCCAGCAAACACCAACCTAAAAATATCACACAAATTCTCTTTACTAAATGGTGTGGCAAGTGGACTAGCCTACCTCCACAACCACAAACCAGTGGTGATACATCATGATCTGACTGCCAGGAACGTGCTGCTCGATTCAGAATTGAATGCAAAAATATGTGATTTTGGAAACTCTCGTGTGATGGATCTCGACCCAGACACCAGTCCAGAGACATTTACCAGTGTCCCAAGGCACTCTAGACTTCATGCCTCCCGAAGCACTTGGTGTACATGCGGAATACGACGCAACTATAGACATATTCTCGTTTGGTCATTTAGCCATTTTCACCCTTACGCAATCCACAGTTAATGTACTGCCACCGACGTACAGTGATGGAAACAAACTCCATGCCCGCTCAGAGGTAAGGAGGCGCTCTGAATCACTGTCCCTCGTGGAGAAGATGCTTGGTACTGAGCACAAGATAGTACATGTCGTGAAACTCTGTCTACACAACCGACCAGCACAAAGACCACGAACATCAGAGCTGGTACAGACCCTTCAAACAATGAATAATGAAGGTATATTATAATTATGAGTGCTGTTTGGTTGTTTACCTATATTCGTGTTTATAACTCAACATGCTCATTATTGCCTCTTGTCCTAATTGCCTTTGCCTTGTGACCCTGTTGAACAATGCATGCCCAAATTATTATAGATGTAAATAGGGGGTATGTATCCACTAGCAGTGTAGTGTAGTAGTAACATTCGATTTTTTAATAGATTAGAGCTGCCCGCAATAAACTCATTGACAATAACGACGTGTAACCCCTTAGCTACCTTAAAGGGCCAAACAAACAGAAAACGGCAATTTCCATTTCATAAAAGTTCATTCCCCCCCCTATATTGAAGGGAAAATATTCAAAACCCAGATAAAGTATTATACTGATGAGAGTAAGTAGACAAATGACTTCATGCTGTGAAGAATGTTAGTGTTCAGTTCAGAGTTGGAGGTGAGGTCAGTGAGGCTCGTAGGTGGGAGTGTGAGAACTGCTCTATAAAACTGACATGTGATGGAATGATGGAGTCACATGGAGTCACATGTCCCCAGGTGTAGTGAGTAGCCTGTAGAAGCTTTGGCCTCTATCGCTTGCAGCATCTCAAACCCTAAGCCAATTTATGCCCTTTTTCAACTTGACTGACTGGTGATTCACTGCATTCTCAAGGGTGGAGAGTATGTCGGCTGATTTGATAGATTTTAGTTGAGGTTTAACAGCAGTTTCCACCGAGTCAGTGTTGCTGAAGAGATTATTATGCCGTGAGTGCATATCGAGAGTGGAATCTGGCATTGCTCAACAATGGAGATGTTGTAGATGTTGTGGGAGGCAATTGTTCGGAAGGTTCTGGTAGCAATCTTATCTCTATCACTGAGAGTAGTTTTTCCCAGGGAAGCTTAGCTTCTGGACAGGTGCCTTGCTTCATAATTGGCCGGGATAGCCCGATTAAAGTAGCACTTGACGCACGCGTCTTGCGTATACGCGCACGCGGAACGCGGGTTCGCGGAAACGGCCCCGCGAGACTAGGACCAGCAGTCCCCCGCGAAACGTCAACGATCCTCTATATAGCGACAGCGGCCTTGCCCTCTAGCTCCATCAGCCACCATACTTTCCCCGCGAAGGTGTAACTCTGCGGGACCGCGGGTTTTACGTCGCACTGGAGTAAGCAAGTTGATGGGATTTGCGCGCGCGCATGAGCGCTAGAGCTTCAGATGCTCAAAATCCGTTGAGGTGGTTGTGCGTTGAGTAATCTCCTTATGTGCCGGCGTGTGTGCGCATGCCATAGTGAGAGTGACTTGACTACACGATAATACACCAAGGCGAGCGAACGCGTTTCTACAGGCGATACGGCGGAAGTAATAAGGAACTTTTACATAGTAGCTAGTATTATTGTAAACTCAGTTGAAACTTAGTTCCAGTACAGATTCCCTGAAGACTGAATCTCTTCTCCCTCTCTCCAGAGTAGTGTCATTGATTCCAGCAGTAGACATAGTCACTTGACCCGTCGTCTCTTCACCTTCTTCTCTCACTCTCCCTCTGTGCCAATGACTATGGTGCTCTCTTACTGGATGCTCTGATCGCTCTGCAGATTTACCCCTTTGATCTTGCACCAGATGTGTCCTGTGCAGATACCCAAAAATACAAAGAAACAGGTTCCAACAAGAATGATGTATATGTAGGGCACGTGCTCCACTTGTTGAGCTATCGCTATTTGAAACATAGAGATTTGCGGCAGAGAATACCGGAGCATTGTCAGATGAAAGATCTATAGTCCATTCAGGAGCCTATTCTTGTAAGGTCTTAGTGCTGCGGTGAGAGCTTAGCAGCGCAGAGGATGAGAAAGTTAGAAGAAGGAGGTTGAGTTGAGGACCTGCCACTGTGTTGGTGTTGGCAATACTGGAGAACAAGGCTATCAGAATCACTCTTGCCAGCAGCAGCATTCCTGTCCAGTAGCGATGGCTGTCTTTGTATGGACCCATATGGGCATCAAAGAAAGGCTTGAATCTGCTGTACAAAGAAGACAACTGGTTACATTGTGATCTTTGAATCCAAGGAGAAGCAGTGAGAGTGAGCGTGTATGGTATTCCCCACTACCAGAAGAGCTGTTAGTGATACTATAAACAGTATGGCATGTTTGGGCTCAAAGTACTGGACATTTCCATCAGTCAGCCACACCACACTGTAATATCCATCAGATCCGGTCAGCGTGGTGAACGAGAAAGCGGCAATGAGGATTCGTAGGATCTTGGTGTAAGAGAGAAGGACAAGAGTCGCAAGTACTGGGACTGCATTATTAGTGTCACTTTGGAAGAGCAGGTGCTGGCGACAATGATGGCAGTGCCATTGCCAGAATGTAGAGAGAAACACAAACTGTAGGCCATGTTTCACATAGGCTGTTAGTCCATTAAGAAACACATTGGAATTCCTAGGTTTAACCATGCTACAAAGGCACAAGGATTGCGACGGGTACACTGACATTGGATGTTGTAAGTGGCAGAAAAGTTGTCCGGTTAGCTTGCAGGATATTAGCAAAAAGTATGAGTCCATTCAAAGTTCCAACGACTGTCATATCAGCGGGTTAGCAGAAACACCAGAGCCATGCCAGCCAATATGAAGACACTGATAGACATTAAGTACACATTAGAGCAGTTTTTACACTCTGACACAAAAACATGCTCAGACCTCCCCCACAGAGAGCTCCTGATCGTTGATACCGACACTGAGTGTGTGGAGAGTCCAGAGTTATGTTTGTGTCCCTCGGTTGGCAATAATCAAATGGGCAATGGGTGTGAAGAAGGATGGATGAATTGGACAGCCCAATCCAGTATGGGTTAGGCCTGTTGATAAGAGCCGTTCCATTGTAAATAGAGCACTTTTTAATGTTGGTCTCGTGGCCCTCTAACTAGTTGGAAACCAACTGGACAGGGCAAAAGATCAACCTGTACAAAACACAGGAATATGGAAGAAACTCTCAAAAAATTGAGTCATAGGGTGAACGCAGTTGGGCTAATGTTCTTGGTGTTCTGGTGTAGCTGAAAATCAAGCACACCCTTTACTTGTTCAAGTGACCTTCCGAATGACTGTGTATCCACAGCAAGTGCAATCTGCTCTTGGTCTGCCTCAGAGACTACAGAGTATCCCACTCGTTGACAATCACTGCCTCTTATCTCCTGGGATACTTGGAGGCTACTGCCAAACAAATCCCTCCTACCTTTACTTCTGGCAACTATACTGATCCAGGCACTGTTCCCAGACCATACCCCACTACAGCTAGTGAGAGGTTAAAGGGCTCTCCTGGGTAGACAGTAATGTTTGTCACAATCTTGAAACAGTCAGGTCTGCCATTTTCACAGAAGCAGACTCGAGTAGGATCAGAGGTGAAACCGGAGAGATCTGAGGAATCATTCACTCCATTGTACTGAAAGACATCCGAAACATTAGGTAGTAAGCAGTTGGAACAAAAACTTTCTCTACTGCTGGGTATATACACATGCAGAGGTCCGCCCACCATAGATGCCATTTCCAGCTATGCCTGCCCTGTTCTGGTCGAAAGAGAGTCCAAACAACCTGCAGCTGGTTGGAGACCTGTGCGCTATGACTTGAATAGAGCAAGTGGATGCCGTTGCTGTTAGAGTGTCACACGCATACCTAGGTCTTGGCTTGGAGATGAATATTGCCCCACCTAACCCTCGTGCACGGTTTCTGGCCAACTCAACTGTAGCAACAGGAGAAACATACAAGACTGAAGAAACAAGAGTCATTACTCCTCCATTGGCTGCCTCATTATCGAGAAGGTTGCCTTGTACATGATAGAGATATCACTATTGTCTGCTGTGGATTCTTCCACTGTGGCCATGTTCCCTGAAATCTCTAGTCCGCCGTTAAGTCTGCTTCGTATGAGGACGTTTAGAGCTCCAAAATCACTGACGTTGTTGGCTACAATCTCAAACCCATCCGCGGATATGGCTGTTGAGAAGAAAAGAATAGAGATCCATTAACTGCCACATTCTCTGTGACTGAAAACTCTGAATCGTGTTCCGTTTGCCACCGTCACGAGAGAAGAGAAGGATGGAGGAATCTCTGTATACACCTTATGGCTGTGAAGTTAACATACGATCCTTTCTTAACTTTAGTTCTTGAATTGTTGAGAAACAAACATATGAGGATATATGGCACCGATTCTCAGTAAATTCCAACTCCCCTCCATTACTGTGATAGTACAGCTGATGCATGCCAGTCCAATGCTTTTCTGTCGTAATACATTTCCAGTAAAACTGAGAGTTCAATAGTTGAGTGCTTGTTCGTTTGTATTCCTGGCTCCGTTATGCCAGAAATACTACCTGGTGTGATATTGATAATGGGTACTCTTAAAATTTCATCTCCATCAGTTGTATCATCATCAGGATCTCTTGCAGAAAATTTGTCACCTTTTTTGGGTAATGCTGGTGTTTCAGTTACTATTACTTTTGTTTCTCATAATCTTTAAAGAGGCGTTGGTAATAAGACATTTTTGGTCTTGACGTTGGAGTGGGTGATGTAAAATAACAATGTTACTCTCCTGAACTGCTGTGTTGTTTAAGACTGCTATACTTACATGTCCTCATTGTAAGTTGATGTTGTCCTTTTACGTTCCAATATTCCACTCTTTTCGACAGCTGAATTTCCCACTATTCCGATGCTTGTGCTACCAAATAAAGCAATATTTCGGTCCACAGCATGTGCAACTATACTCTGATTGTTTACAACATTATTTTCCAGCAGAAATACACTGTCAAAAAGATACATTTGTGTTGTATCAAACGCTGCAATGATCCCCTTTTGTGCGTCGTTGTCACTAATGTATATTTCAGCATGAGACTCTTTTTCCCAGTAACTTCAAAAGCTGACAATAATACCCATCCCTCTTCCACTGAGTTTTGATTGATCTGTAGTGATGCGTGCTCCTCAGTAAAACACTGCTCGTATAAGAGTGAAATTGATGCCCCATACTTTCCAGTGTTGCTGGTAAATAGAGTTTGGATTGTCACTTACTTCAAGATCAGAGCCCAACAGAAGCATAGCAGAGAGTTTGCAGTCAAGTTAAAGTCCATCAAG